GGAAAAAAAAAACTTTATTGTTTAGATTTAAAGAATCTCATTTTATTTTAAGGGCTTAACTAGAGAAAAGTGAGATACAGGGAATCCTTAAATTTTTAAACCATGAATAAGCAATCTTCACAAAAACTTACAAAAAATAGATAAAAGCCTAAAATGGAACTGGTGCTTCCAATAATCCTCAATGATACACTGAAGAGGGAAAATCTGAAAACTGCTTCCATTTTATTAATGCCCTATCTAAACTCTCTCCAATAGTGCAATGTCTCCTTCCTAAGTGATATTCTGTTGACTCAATGAAATGTTCCTTTGTCTTTTTTCTTCATTTCTCCATTTTGTTCTAAAAGCCAAGAGCAACTTTCTAGGTTTCTTTTTATGTCACTACCCATATGGTCCTCGGTCTTGTTTAAAGTCTTTCCTTACTCTTTACTCACTGACGAAGAACATACAAAATAGATTACTGGGAGAAATAAAGCAAATCTACACTGTCCCGCCAAAACTTTAAGTTATGAGGATTGGTAGGGCTTAACCTTGAATACAGAATTGAGACATTTAATCTAGACACATCATATGAAGAAGCACTAACATCATGAGGAACATATACCAGTTCTTCCAGAAGTATGAAAGTTTTTAAGGATGGACTGAAGTCAAAAGTGAAGACTACTACAGCCACCTTTTACTGTATGTATTACATTGTCATAAAGTTTTTATAAGATAAGTTTATTGCATGGTGTGACAGAAAAACAATCAAGCTATGGAAGTTACTCAAACTCTTGCCCTTAGTTACCCGAGTTGATGGGATATTTAGAAGCCACAGAATGTGATTTGTTCACTTTGACGCAGTTAAGATATTTAGACCATACTGCTCTTCAGATCAAGGACTTTCTAGAAACTGGGAGACCCAACTTGCTCCCCACCACCAATTCCACCACCCAGTGGCCCTTTGGATTATACATGCATACACAGTCATACGGAGCAGGACCACTCGGACTGAAATGCACGTCTGCCACCAATCTGTCTCTAGTATGGCTCAAGCTACTTCCAGCTCCCGGGAAGGAACAGCAGCAATGTCACTGGGATTCCTCATGGCAGTGTAATACTCATGTATCAAGAAATAATAACACCACTGCTCCTCCTTACTGATTTGTTTTAAGTAATCTCTACTCCCAACATGGAGCTTGAACTCAGGAGCCTGAGATCAACAGTCACATGCTTTTCCCAAAGAGCCTACAGGAACCCCAACACCACCACTCCTGATCTATATCCCTGAAAAGTTCTATAACACACCTGCAGCCTAGACATGCCACTTTTGGATTCCAATCAACCCTGAGAACTAACACGGGGAAATGGCTGGATGTTCAAGCTCACCTCCTTCCCAATCCACTTTCACTAGAAGAAGCAGATAAAAATTTCAGATCAGGGGCGCCTGGGTGGCTCAGTGGGTTAAAGCCTCTGCCTTCCGCTCAGGTCATGATCCCAGGGTCCTGGGATCGAGCCCCACACGTCAGCCTCCCTGCTCAGCTCATCTGGAATCTGCTTCTCCCTCTGCCTCTGCCTGCCACTCCCATTATTTGTGCGCATGCTCACACTCTGTCAAATACATAAATAAAATCTTAAAAAAAAAAAAAATACTGCCCTAGTGGAAATAGTGGAAATGTCAGGTTACCCAAGAGAAACCTCACCAAAAGGATTCTGACAGAGAATATCATCAATACGAATGACATAGCTGTTTTCACTGAACATGGCATTTATTTTCACCATAAGACTGCCACAAAGAGATTTTTTTTAAGTTTTATTTATTTAACTAGTCTCTACACACAACATGGGGCTCGAAGTCACAACCCCAAGATCAAGAGTCACATGCTCTTCTAAAGACAGCCAGGAACCCCTATACCCTAAAGAGATTATTGATATGATCTCCTGATATGAAGAACCACTCTGGGAAAAGGAACTAAGAATTTGTCAATAGTGACTTTGTAAAAAAAAAAAAAAAAAAAAAAAGAGCTAATTTATATAAAGTACATAAATCTTACATGTGTAACTCAGTGAATTTTTAAGTATGTGTACACTCTGAATGTCACCCAGCTAAAAATACAAAACACTTCTATCACTCCAGAAGGTTCCCTCATGCCTCTAATCAATGACCTCTGCCCCTAACCTCCACTCCCAGGTAACCACTATCCTGCCTTTTGGCTCCTTAGATTAATTTTGCCTCTTTTTCAACTTCACTTAAATGGAATTATACAGTAGATACTCCTTTGTGCCTGCTTATTTTGCCCAACTGAATGTATGTGAGATTCATATTTGCTGGTATGCATGTTTATAATTTTTTATTGCTATACAGCTATTATACTGTACAAATATACTGTAATTTATTTATCCTTCCTCCTGTTGATGGACATCTTGGGTCATTTTTCAGTTTTAGGATATTATCACTACAGCTGTTACCAGCTTTCTTGCATGTCTTTTGGTGACATAAGCCTCATTTTTATTGCTTACATAGCCAGAAGGGATCAGGCAGTAGACACACATTTTTAGCTAGATACTGCCAAAGCTTTTTAAAGTGGTATTGTTAGTCTTTATAATCTAATCTTGCAGATGAGTAAATGGTATTTCATTTGGCTTTACTTTGCATGACTCCAGTAAATAATGTTCAGCACCTTTTCATATGCTTTTTTTTTTTTTAAGATTTTTATTTATTTATTTGACAGAGAGAGATCACAAGTAGACAGAAAGGCAGGCAGAGAGAGAGAGAGAGAGAGGGAAGCAGGCTCCCTGCTGAGCAGAGAGCCCGATGCGGGACTCGATCCTAGGACCCTGAGATCATGACCTGAGCCGAAGGCAGCGGCTTAACCCACTGAGCCACCCAGGCGCCCTTCATATGCTTTTTAAAAAAGCCGTATGAATATTCATTTTGAGGCCCACTGATGTTTTTTGTCCATTTTTTTCTAAAGTAATCTCTACACCCAACTGGAGTTTGAACTCATGACCCAGAGATTAAGAATCACAAACTCTACCCACTGAGCCGGCCAGGCACCCCTGTCCAATTTTTAAAAATTGCCTGTCTTCTTGGTGATCTGTAGGAATTCTTCATAAATTCTGTACGTGAGTCCTTTATCCAAGGTATGCATGTGTCTTCTCTCAGACTTAGGCTTGCCCTTTCACTTTAATGTTGTCTTCGGATAAATGACGTCTTAATTTTAATGAAATCCAATTGATCCATTTTTCCTTTACCAGTTAATGCTTGTGTCCTTTCAAAAAAAAAATCTTTTCTACTACAAGATCATGCATATATTCTCAGGTTTTCTTCAAGAGGCTTGTTTTAGCTTTCCCTTCACCCTTCTCAACAGCAGTTACATGTTCTCTCCCAACCCTACCAAACCTGTCATGTCCAAGGTTTTGCCACAAGACAGCACAAACTGAGTTCATTAAGCCTTGTTTATTATGTGTGCTATTACTTAAAAAAACAAATCTCTGATAATAAATAATAAATGATGATGGGAATGGATCACTTTTGGGAATGTACCAGAATGACTCTTCATACAACTGAGTTTTCACTTTAGTTTCTAATAACACACTCCAGACTTAACTTGCTTTTACTGATTAGTTAAAAGACATTTTAGGTGGTTGTTGAAGGTGGGCAAAAGTGGGATGTAATGCACAGCATGGCAACTATGGTTGGTAACAATAATAACAGATCTTAAAAGTTCATCATAAAAATGCAATTCTGTAACTATGTATAGTGATGGATGTTAACTAGCCTTCTTGTGGTGATCCTTTCACAATATATACAATGTACACCTAGAACTAATGTAACTTTATAAGTAAATTATACCTCAGCAAAAAAATAAATACACACACACACACAAACACACACACACACAATAACAGGTGACCCCAGAACACCACAGGTTTGAACTGCAATAATCCACATATATGTCAACTTTTTTGATATAGTTTAGTACTATAAATGTACTTTCTCTTCCTTATAATTTTAGGAACATTTTCTTTTACTTTACTGTTAAGAATACAGTAAATACACTTAAGATACAAAATACATGTTAACAGACTGTTCATATTATCAGTACCACTTCCAGTCAACAGGAGGTCATTGGCAGTTAAGTTCTGGAAGAGTCAAAAGTTTTATGTACATTTTTGGCTGTGGGAGGAGTCGGCACCCCTAACCTTGACCCATTGTTTAGGGGTCAAGTGTATATATAATTACTAAGCAACAACAAAAGACATCTGAATATTCTACAGGTTGACATTTCTGAAAAACAAGTTGAAATTATAAATGTTCACACTAAAACTGGACACACTGAGCAGATATCACATAAATTCAATTCTCATGATGAAACGTCCAGAGTTCAATGGAATCAGCTATTTGATAGAAAGAGAGAACTTTCATATACTTCTATAAATATGAATCAGCCTTTGACTTTATCTTATTGAATTATCTGGTATCTCTCCTGTCAATGAACTCACATTAAGAAAAGGATGAAAAGAAACAAGCACTTTGAATATTTATGTGACTGATTTGTATATATATAAAGCGATTTGTATTTATATAAACCCAGTACTATCCTCAAATTCTAGTATGGAGTCACAACATGAGCTGTTTGGTCCACCTGGCTAGGCGATACATTCTCTTTTATGAGCCTAATTAAACTGAATCTCAGAGTCACCAGTGAGATACACCCATACTGGGAAGTGAGATGTGCCCTGTCTGAATACGCCTTACATGCTCAAGAATAAAGTTCCTTCTGTTAGGTCTGTTTTTTCAATGACTTTATTAAAATCTATCAATGACTATTCTACATAACTGGAAAAATAAAGCCAATTAATGTTTCTAGGTTATCTTTCTATTATTATTCCGAAGTCCCAATTTTTAAAGCCAGTAACCTTTCACCAAGTGTCAATTAAAATTCTTCCAACTCACACATAAATCATGTTACACATTTTGTTTTTTTTTAATGTTACCACTGAAGTGAACCGACACTTACCTGTAGTAATGGCTCTATGAAATTGATGCATGTCCTCTCCTGAGAGCTCTTGGGCTACTTGCAATATCTTTTGTCTAACACCATCCAATTTAATTTCTGATTCAGTCAATATCTCTTCCATATCAGGAGCACTATAATCAAAATATTGGGCACTTTTAGAATATCAGCCAGATGCTTTGTTAGTGAAAAACTTGAAATAATCTGGGGCACCTGGGTGGCTCAGAGGGTTAAGCCTCTGCCTTTGGCTCAGATCATGATCCCAGGATCCTGGGATCGAGCCCCTTGTTGGGCTCTCTGCTCAGCAGGGAGCCTGCTTCCCCCTCTCTCTCTCTGCCTGCCTCTCTGCCTCCTTGTGATCTCTGTCAAATAAATAAATAAAATCTTTAAAAAAAAAACCTGAAATAATCTAGCTATCAATGAACACAGGGCTAAATAAATATTGTATCTGGGTGCTTCTAACTTAAAACCACAATTCTATTTTATTAAAAATATATAGAATCAGGGGTGCCTGGCTGGCTTAGTTGGTAGAGCATAGGACTCTTGATCTCAGGGTCATGAGTTTAAGCCCCACACTGGACAGAGAGCTTAAAAAAAAATTAAAAAAATATATATATACACACACATAAAATTTGTGTATGAAATATGAAATCTGCTGACAGTAGCTATCTTTTGGTATTGTGACTGACTTCTTTCATTATCTTTACTTTTATACACTTTATTATTTTCCTAAAAATTCCTACTAAGTTTACTATAATACCAATGTACATTTTTGGTGGAGAAATACTTACAAGATGACTTCATACAATAATACGGTTTTTTCTAAAATATTAAGATCTCCTGTCACAGTTCTATTATTTCTTTAAACTGCTGAATACTGATGTCAGTTCTTTCAAAATTGCAATTTTTATTGAAAAAAGTGTTCATAATTAGTCAAAACAGTGTTGCTTCTTTCCATATACAAGCTCAAGTTCAAGAATAACTTAAAGGGGCACCTGGGTGGCTCAGTGGGTTAAAGCCTCTGCCTTCGGCTCAGGTCATGATCCTGACCGAGCCCCACATCAGGCTCCCTGCTCAGCGGAGAGCCTGCTTCCCTTCCTCTCTCTCTGCCTGCCTCTCTGCCTACTTGTGATCTCTGTCTGTCAAATAAATAAAATAAAAATCTTAAAAAAAAAAAAAAAGAATAACTTAAAATCTTTCAGTAATGTAAGCTGAGAACTCATTTAAAAAACAAGCAAAAACTAATTTTAGAGTCAGGTGATAATACAAAGTTTACAGCCCCACATTCCAATAAATCTATGTATGGCAAATACACTTCCACTTAATAAAATAAAATAAACAATAAAAATTAAGCCACTGGTATGTTATCTTAATAAATTTTAAATTAAAAAAACTGTAAATGAGTGACTAGAATACTTCAATAGTATTTTTTTAAAGACTTTATTTAATCATTTGACAGAGAGCGCGAGGGTGAGACAGCACAAGCAGGGGGAGCAGCAGAGGGACAGGAAGCAGGCTCCCTGCTGAGCAAGGAGGCAGATGCGGGGCTGGATCCCAGAAGCCTGGGATCATAATCTGAGCCGAAGGCAGACGCTTCACTGACTGAGCAACGCAGGCACCCCCAGTAATATTTTTAATAATAAAAAGACCATAAATTATATCTGGACTTACTTAAACACTTTATAAAATACATACTGTAAATCCCTCTAGAGGCATTTGTAATTTTTAACAAAAGTCTCTCTTGGGGAGCTACCTGGTGGGCACTTCTTAACCTCATGTAAAACAGAGAAGCAAAGAAAGCCAATTAAATTAAATAGGAAGGAAATCATGAGGCAAAGATGGAAGAGAGTAATACCTTGCTGTATTCATAAGATACTCCTGAATCTTTATAATTTGCCTCACTCTTCTGCTTAGGGTAGTTTAAGCTGGTTTCTTTTTCTTTCTTTCTTTCCTTTCATTCATTTGAGAGAACACACATGAACATCAACAGCAGAGGAGTGGTGGGCAGAGGGAGAGGGAAAGGATCTCAAGCCGACTCCACACTGAGCGCAGACCCAACCTAGGGCATGATCTCTTGACCCTGAGAGCATAACCTAAGCCAAAACCAAGAGTTGGATACTTAACCAACTGGGCCACACAGGCGCCTCATAAGCTGGTTTCTTTGATTTGCAACCAAGGAATCCAGGATATATACAGAGACTACCTAGAAAAATAAAATAAAATGAAATATTCTTACAGAAAGAAATTTCAAAGAAAAGATGCCTCGGTGCTGAAGGAAAAGGAAGTTCCAAAAAACAATTAAGCAGTCAATGGGATCATATGCTACAAAAATGTAGAATAAGTAGAGTATGTACTAGATTAAGCAATATGAGGGTAAGAGGTCAATTACAATAGTTGTGAGGCAGAAAAGCAGATTGCAATGAGTTGAACAATGAATGGGAAGATAAATAAAGCAGATTTCAACACTGATCTAATATTAAAATTTCACATGTATCATCCAAAGAAAGCTTTAATGTAACAGGCTCTAATAAACCATTAGAAATTTAATATTTTCACAAACAACATCTACATCACTGAGGGATCTTAACACAAAATCCCTGGCTACTCTGAAAATAAGAACTTTCCCTTCCTGTATTGATTAAAATATTTATTCTTAAAATCTACTTGCTAGTGGGATGCCTAGGTGGATCAGTCCATTGGGTGTCTGACTCTTGATTTTGGCTCAGGTCATGATCTCAGGGTTGTGGGATTAAGCCCCACATTAGCTCCATGATGCACATGAAGCCTGCTTAAGATTCTCTTTCTGTCTCCCTTTCCCCTCTCCCCCTCAGCTCACAATGGCTCACTCTCTTAAAAAAAAAAAAAAAAAAAAAAAATCTACTTGCTGCTAACCTCTTCTGATCCCAGGGTTCAAAGAATAAATCACAGAATAGTCTAACAGCTAGTTACTCTCTACTGAGGTATAAAGAATTACAAAATACTATTATAATACATATCAAACTGTATGCAACTATAACAAATTTTAAAGATATTTACTCACCTTGTAATCCTATGTAGGAGAAAAATTGTCCTTTTACTTTCAACAGTTATATCCCGACTAAGCTTCACAAGTCTCTCATATTTGTCATGTCTTGCATCAAGTTCCTGCTGAAATGCTAACACATTATTACAACCATAAGAATGCATATTCTATGCTTCAAGCCTATAAAACAACACCATTATGCACAATAAAGCAACTATTATTTACTCTGTAAAAATGAGAAGCATATCATCTCATTCATTTTTAAAGTACTGGAAATCAGAGACTACTAGTAACCAAAATACTATTTTTTTAAACACAGGTATGCTTTAACTGGGTTTCACTACTCACAGCCTCACGGTAAGTTGTACATATTGTAAAACAACAAACAAAAAAAAAAAACCTCATCTAGTAAACATGAGATCGTTATCACAGCATTATCACAGGAGACTTACAAAAATTACTTCCAACTACCTAAGTTACATAACTTTTTTTAAAATCACCCTACCACATGCAATATTATCTCCCCCCACAAAAACCTGGATTTTTTTTGAATTAAAAGTTTATAACTTATAAGGACATCAACTTTCTGAATTTCCAAGCCCCAGTCACTGAAATACCCATAAGTCACTTAACTCTCAATCACCACTTTATTTCAGAAGCATTGCCATGCCAAAGACCTAGCAAACAGCCTCTCCTGTAGGGAGCACAGAGATGTATTTTACATAAATTAGAAAAACCCCAGAACCTGAATAAACTATTAATCAAATTAACAGGTTGACAAGAACCAAATACATCTGCTCTTTTATTATTGAGATAATAATTAAGCTGGCATTTTGCCTAAAATATCAAGATAATCAAAAGCTTTCATTAGTTATTGTAAATATTAATGACCTCTGTGAATTAGGTACTATGAATACAAAGTGAAATAAGACAATTTCTATCTTCAAGGAGTTTAGCCCAGTAAAAGACAAAGATGTAAACAAATAAAAAAAAAAACATAATAAATATATGTAAAGGAAAGCACGAACTGTATTCTTGTTCACTACTAACACAGGCTAGTAGAGTAGATACTCAATAAATATTTCATGACTAAACAGATGAATGGATAATGAATAAATGCAACGTCTATCCGTAAATTTGCTTGAGGAAAAAATCAAAAAGGCTTCCAAGGAAGATCACTTGAGCTAGGTGGTGAAAACCACAGTTCACCAGATGAACAATGGGGGAGGCAAATTAGAAGCAATTTCAAGCTTAAAGAACTACGTGTGAAAAGCCAGAAAGAAACATAACAAAAGCAATCTATGCTTGGAAACAAGCAGTATAGGGTGTCAAAGTGTAAACACGGGGAACATGCGACGCAGTGCAGTTTTTCCACTGTGTGTGGCGTTTTTATCAATGCGCTCTCTACTCAATCACAAGTTGTGTCATACCTCCGAGTATCCCTGTAGATGCCGTGTTGGTTTTAAAATATGCCCCGGAATTACTTGAGACTCCCTTCAAAAGGTGGAATCTAACTCCCTTCCGTTTAAACAGGAAGCAGTTTTTAAACTGCCTCATTTCTCACAAACAGAACGTAGCAAAAATGACTGCATGATCATGAGGACATAAGGAGATTGTGGTCTCCTCCCGGCTCTGACTGGGGAAGCCAGACGCTGTAACGTTAGGACACCGGAGCAGCACCACGGGGGCTCCCCGTGAAGACTGAGCGCCGGCTGCTGGCAGGCCTAACTTGTCAATTGCCTCGGATCCTCCAGCTCCGATCGAGCCTTCAGATAAGTGGGAGTTAGAGTCTACAGCTCAGGCCCTCTCGGTTCCGAATCACAGAAACCATAAGGTACAGGAGGGTGGATCCAGGATGGCAGGAAGAATTTTAGGCTCATATGTTCTGAAAGGAGGAGCCACTCGAGCCAGTTAAAAGGAGGACGGCGACTAATACATACACATGCGCATACACGTTATATTCCTATGGCGTCTGCGTACCATGCAGATGATGTACTGACAGATGAGTCCTGACTCACATACAGCGGATACGTATTTGTAGGTTGGGTTTCTGATGTGAATTAACTAAGGTTTACCTGCAGAACTGTAATGGGGGGGGGGGGGGGTCAACACTTCAGGGATCGCGACTTTAATGGCAGACCCAGCACCACAGCAAACCTCCAGGAAAAGTTAAAAAAAGCCACACAGGCACCTCTTCCTTCTGACGGCTGTTTCTGTGTGTGCACAACGCGTCTAAACCATCCTGCTTCCCCAGCTCCGTGATCTTCCCCTCGCTAACTTCCATCACAGGGAACTTACATTTGAAGGCCAACATCAGCGGTGAAGATGAGTTAACATCCTTCCCTTCTCTCCTCTGGTTATGTGGGAAATTGTCATGCTTCCTTTTCCTGAACCCTCCTGAGCCTTACGTAGAGAAGGAGAAAGAAGTTGGAGAGGCTCTTCCACCACCAAGAGCGGACACGCGTCCCGGTCGGCTAGCCCCTTCCTTCCGAACCGGCGCCCGCGGGGCCCTCGCCTCCGAGGCTTTCTCGGCGGACGGCAGAACATCAGCCCTGCCTTTCTTCGCCCAAACCTGCGGCTCAACTCACCCGGGCCTCCACCAGTGGCTTCCCTGGTCTGGCACAAGGTGGAGCAATTACAGAACTAAGATTAAAAAACACAACTCGAGGATTTTAAAAAAAAGGGGGGGGGAGCGAGGTGTGAACAGGACCACGTGGCCGGGAAATCACCGGGGCCGCCCCCCACCCCCGCCCCCCCGAGCGTGCAAAGGGAGCGGGCATCCCTCAAGGGTGAAGAGCGGTGGAAAATCCGACAAAAAGGATGGAGGTTCTCCCCTTTAGAATAAATAACGCCCCGCGCCGCTGGGGACGCCACCTTCTTTGCTGCTCATGTCGTCAGGGCCTACGGCGAGATGAGCGGAGACTGAGAGCCTCGGAACCAGAGGGGTGCGTAAGGTGCTAGCCGGAGAGCCCGCCGAGAACCCCTTCGCAGCCGGCCGACGTCGACGCCCTGGCCGGAAGCGCGTTCCCGCAACCACTCACGCCTCTCCCTCCGCCTTCGCACGCTTCCGGCCTGCGTCCCGGCCCCGCCGCCCCTGGCTCCTCCCCGCGCGCGGCCCGAGGACCTCGCGCCCGCGCGCCGTGGTCTTGCCTGCCCTCTGCTGTGCCTGAAGACAGAGCGACTCTACACGCTTCACTAAACGGTCTGTTAATAAAACAGATGATGTAGGCGAGGCCTGTGTGAAGGTAGAAAAGTGCCGGAAGATGTACGTGTTTTTTTTTTTTTTTTTTTTCTCTCAAGGCCCCTTTGGAACACCCCCATGCTCCCTCACCGTGGACCTAGCCTTCCGCGCGGGGAATCATGGGGGTTGTAGTTCGCCTGCAGGAGCCGGCCATCCGGCTCACCCACCAGGCTGAGGAAGGAGCTAGCCCTTGGCCGCCTATGGGAAGGTCTTCTCCGAAATGAGGCCGAACCCTACGGAGCTGGGAGTTTACACTTCCTATTCCTGGCTGTGACGCTAGCAGGTGAAGGAATTGGGATATGCAAATCAGTAAGTGGATGGCATTAGCCGGCGTTCTGACGAAGGTAAAGCCCGCCCTCTCTGGTCCTCCCCCCTGTCCCCCGCACCCCTGCTCTCCCCTGTCCCCTCAGCCCGCGTTCCCCACTCTGCGGCTCCTTTTCCGCCGGGTTTCGCTTTCCTGTTTCTTCTGGCTCCGTCACGGCCTGGGTGGGCGACCTTAAGGATAGTTGACCTCCGTCCTCAGTTTCCTGATCTGTGAAACAGGGGTAGAAGACCTGCGTCCTAGGCTTATTCGAGGACCAAGTGAGTTAATACTGAGGCTCCCTGAAGAGTGTCCTTTCGCGAAGTAAATGTTCAATTAAATGTTAGCTTTCGGGGCACCTGGGTGGCTCAGTGGGTTAAGCCTCTGCCTTCGGCTCAGGTCATGATCCCAGTGTCCTGGGATCGAGCCCCGCATCGGGCTCCCTGCTCGGCAGGGAGCCTGCTTCCACCTCTCTCTCTGCCTGCCTCTCTGCCTACTTGTGATCTCTCTGTGTCAAATAAATTAAAAAGAAAAAAAAATCTTAAAAAAAAAATTAGCTTTCGTAGCCTTCTCCCAACGTCGAGCTCCAAAAAAGAAGAGCGAGGGGTCGGTAACAACAGGTGTGCGCCACCAAGTTGTGAGCTTTTTACTTGGGGCAGGTACTGCCATATCTTATTAGACTTCCTACATTTTATAAGCCCCCGGCCCGCACCCCACCCCCGGAACCCATAGTGCTTGTAAGCCTCCATAAGTGTTTCTCGAAGAATGAGGTTGAGGGGTAACTAAGTAGCCATCCTACATCTTCTAGATACAGACTCAGGGTAAGGCTTGGTGGTTGGGTAGCCTAGACCTAGTGGGGAAAACACAGGTGCATTTTATTACCTGTCTCTGAATACTCTCCGTGTTGTGGGCACGTGTTGTACACACCGTCCTTGTTAATTCCTCCTTGTTATAATTTAGGAACACACTGCTTCCCATACCTGTTAGGATTAGAACACAAAGTTTCATAACCGTAAATGAAACGGTTTGGCTAGAATACGGCGGTATTTTCAAGCCGGAGACAGGTGTGCCCCCAGAAAGGTTTTCCGCTCTGGCTGGTCTCCGGAGCCTCTCCCAGCTCGGAAGCAAGAAGGTAGCCACCACCCACCCGTTTCTTTGCAGCTCTTCCAATACGTGAATTGATTAAACAAATCCCTTCTGTATGAAATAGGCTGCTCAGGACTCTTGCTTTGTAGATTTGGGGCAAATAATTCTGAGTTTGTGGGAAGTCTGTGCTGACATCCACCAGTATCCCTCTTTGTTGATAAAATTGAGGGGGGAAAATCCTCTGGTATAAATAGAATCATTTTCCTGTGTCTCTCTCTAGGTCCAAAGAAGCCAGTAACTTATGAACATCTTTAGAGTTAATATTTTTTATCACAGTCTGAGAAAAGGGTATTTTTTTCCTAATGCTACGGGAATAGCAGCTCCGAAGACCTCAACTGTCCAAAAACTAGATCAGCCCTATTTCTTTCTCCAGCCACCACTCGCTGTTCAAGTGTTTAATTACATCCGTGTTACTTGAACTGCTTTCCACTGCTTCCCATACCTGTTAGGATTAGAACACAAAGTTTTGTAACCCGTAATGACTTATTAAAGTAACCAAATGAGGTGAATCCCGGGGACACTTTCCCGACATTTATTTGCATACGCAGTTTCGCAGGTGACCCATCTGGAGCTGCTCCCTTGTCAGGAAATACCTTCCAACCTCTGGTAACCTGCGGAAGGCATCTCCACCATGTCTCCTTGTTTTGTGACTTCAGAGGCGCTCACGTAGTTTTGGTATTTGGCAAAACATATTTTTGTTTGTTTTTAAAGGAAAACTACCACCCCATGTTGGGAAGTGGAAGGTAAACATTTTCAGTAAGTCCTTACTTTTTGGAAAGGTTCTCCTTCCTCCTCTTTTTGGATTCTAATTGCCCACATTTGACTCTGAATAAAGCTGTAAGCTTTCCAGGCACCTGTTTTTATAAATCCTCACACTTACCACCTTTATAGGAAGAAGAAATCTGATACCAAAATTGGATTGAGGTTTTAAAAAATCATATAATCAACCAAGGGGAAGAAATACAGCTTCTCAAAATATTTCTGTTTTAGCCTTTACCTTATTACATAGTTGTTAAATAAATCCTGGTTGGTGGGGGAGGTCTTAGGGGAAATTTTCAGAATCTTGAGTGACCATTTTAAAAATAAACATAGGGGGGACGCCTGGGTGGCTCAGTTGGTTGGGCAGCTGCCTTCGGCTCGGGTCATGATCCCAGTGTCCTGGGATCGAGTCCCGCATCGGGCTCCTTGCTCAGCGGGGAGCTTGCTTCTCCCTCTGCCTCTGCCTGCCATTCTGTCTGCCTGTGCTCACTCTCTCTCCCTCTCTCTCTCTCTCTGACAAATAAATAAATAAAATCTTTAAAAAAAATAAAAAAAATAAACATAGGGGCACCTGGGTGGCTCAGTGGGTTAAAGCCTCTGCCTTCAGCTCAGGTCATGATCCCAGGGTCCTGGGATCAAGCCTTGCATCAGGCTCTCTGCTCAGCAGGGAGCCTGCTTCCTCCTCTCTGCCTGCCTCTCTGCCTACCTGTGATTTCTGTCCGTCAAATAAATAAATAAAAATCTTTAAATAAATAAATAAATAAACATAATATTTAGAAGCTATCTATAGGGTCTGAAGTAGTATTGTGAAGTGTACACATACCAATTTACAGATTTATTTTTCAAGCAGTTCTAGGATGTAGTAGGAGAAAATGATTTTCCTTCCGGTTCTTTACTGGAGAGGGAACTATGTTTAAGGGAATAAAAAGGGATGGGCAAAACCACAACGAGATACCACTTCACAATCAGGAGGATGGCTATAATTAAAAAAAAAATTTTTTTTTTAAGTAACAAGTGGTAGCAGAGATATGAAGAAAATGGAACTCTCATTGATGGTAGGAATGTAATATGGTGCATTCACTGTAAGAAGACAGTTTGGCAGTCTCAGGAATTTAAACATGGAATTAGCACATGACCCAGTAATTCCACTAATAGGTATATACTTGTACATGAAGGTTCATAGCAGCACCATTTACAATAATGAAGAGGCGGAAACCTGGAAACCAGCCAAATGTCCAGCAACAAAGGAAAACAAAATGTGGTAAAGAAATGGGTAAAATAAATGTAAAATTTATTTTACATAAATTTAAAAAATAAATAAAATAGGTAAATGAAATAGGTAAACAAAATGTGGACCATTTCTACAATAGAATACTATTTAGCAATAAAAAGGAATGAGATACTATCCATGCTACAATATGAATGAACCTTGAAAACATACTAAGTGAAGTAAGCCCATCACAAGAGATCACGTATTATATGATTCCATTTATTTGGAATGTTTCAAATACGCAGATCTATACAAAGTAGATTTACAGTTCCTTGTGTTGAGAGGCATGGAGGTGGGAGAAGGAATAGAATGATAGCTTAAGTATATAGAGTTTCTTTTTTAGATGATAAAGATGTTCTAAAATTGTGATGATGGTTGCATGTATCTGTGAATATATTTAAAACTATTGAATTTATCACTTTGAGTGAATTGTAAATAAGTGAATTTTATCTCAATAAAGCTGTTAAGAAAATTTTTTGAAAAACTGATGGGATACATTCATTTCAAATCCTGTAGGTATATACATATAGATATATAGACATACTTAAGTGTCATTAAGGAAGAACATGAAACAACGTGGCTTAAACTTACCTTTAATAATGTGTAATTAAAAAGATGTAAAGTACTTTAACCTTACAGGTCTAATAATCTTCAACAAATATTTCCATGCCTAATTTATGCCTGGCGATGTGATTGGTGCCATAGAGGACACAACCGTTTTCTTAATGATTCAACAAATATTTATTGAGCACCTGTCATGTCACAGCTACTGTTCTAAGGATTGTGGATCCTTGTTCACATAAAGTTTATCTTCTAGTGAGATGAGACAGACAAGGACAAAAAAAGTATATAGCATTAGAAAGTGATCGTTGCTATCGAGAAAAATAAAATGAAGGAAAGAAAAAGATGAAAGATAAGTTTGCCAGGGGTGAGAGTGAGTTGCCCTTGAAATAGGGCAATTGGAAGATAGCTCACTGAGAAGGGGACGTGTGGCCATAGATCTAATGGAAGTGAACAAGTGAGCCATACACATAGCTGGGGTACTTTCTCTTCCCTGTGTGTGCTAGTAATTCTCCCCTTTCTCTCCTATATTATTATTGTTAATTGTTTTTCTTCTGCTCTCTACTGCATCATTCCCATCACCATACAAACTTGCTGTCAGATCATCCATCTTAAGAGTCTCCTGACCACTTCTACCTCCCAACCTACCCACCATTTCTCCACCGCTTTGCAATAAAACCCTTATACTACCTGTATTCCCACTCTGCTGGTCTATCTCTAATCAGGCTATGGCTGCTTAGGAATTGCTGCTACCACTATCTCTAATGACTTCCACATTTTTAAATCTGGTGACCAATAC